CTCAAAGCATCAGGATTTACTGACCTCTTGAAATTTGTACTAAGTCATCAGACAAATCAAAGAAATCCTGTTCTGCTTCCTTCTCGCTCTCCAGAAGGAGTCAGGTTGTTGGGCATTGATTGCTGTTGGTATTTAAAAGGACAGGCCTTACACTGTAGGATCAATACATCTAAAATAAAAACATGCGTTTGAGGATAACTTTTGTTGTTAGGGGGTGGAAGAGGTCAAGCCAACAAAAGCTTGTTTTTGGCATTCCATGTCTTAGCTAAAGATTATGTAGAGGTAAATATCAGTAGATTCCTGTTGAAATGAGTTATCTGTTCTTTTAAAGTCTCTAAACAGCCACCAAAGAAAAGGAAGGTTAAACCTTAATCTATTTACTAGGCTATTGTTCATAGGTGTCAATGATGCCAATAAAAAAATATTGTCTTGTTATGTCTAAGTGCATTTAAGCAATGGGTGTTCCTTGAGCCATACTTTGAAACATAAAATACTTTAAATGTTGATTGCTGTTATATCAAACTATTTCACTATTAGATTATTATTATTACTTTGAATCAAATTGAATAAAAAGTTAGTGTGTTCAGATTCTTATAAGTTTAGCTTCTTTCTTTCCGTTTGCATTCTCTCCACCCCAAGTTCAGTCTTGGTGTACATTTTAAACTGAAAAATTTCCATCGAAGTGTATATGAAGCCATTATTATCCATAGAAACAAGTGAAAATATAGTGTGCTATAAATATTGTAAATTCAGAAGAAAAACCAATTAGAGATAAGATATTTTAGAATAATGCAGTTTTTGCCTAAGCAGCAGACTGCCTTAATTCTGTTGTCTATGCAGATATTTGAGACTTCCAGTCCCTGTGGTTTTAGGGAAGCAAGTTAGCTCTGATTCTTTGGTATACAGCTCTAAATAATGGTTTTAAAAAGTAAAATAGTCTTTTTCTGTCACTTTCTTCCTAGGAATAACATGCAGAACACAGTTTAAGTGTTGTTTCTTTTTTATTGAAAGTTGCAGTACGGAGGAGGAAACGGTTATGAAGGAGTTAAATGTAGTAGCAGGTAAGGAGAGCTGCTTGGTATATTTATCATATCAGTTGCATTACATACAGAATCACATTTGATTTAAGAGGGTAGATGATGACAAGGAGAGATATCGTCTAGAAGATTTCTTTGGGGTGGTTGAAGGGGGACAGATTTTTCTGTTGTACAGATTGTAAACTTTCACTTTCTTCCTTCAGCTCCTCCCTCTTCTAGCTTTGGTGCATTTTGTTTTGATGGTTATTGAGCAGTATTTCTAGATTCGTGTCCTGCAGTATGGGCAGGGTTTCCTTTCGGGGACAAACATCCTCTTCAGAGGACAGAGGATGAAGTGCAAGATTGTGATTTCTCCCTGCTTTGTCTGGGTTAAAGCACCTCTTAACAGAACCTAGAGGCTCACTCAAATGAAGTCAAAGGCTGGATTTCACTTTGAACCAAGGAACAAGCTTCCAGTCTTGCAGATCAAGGTAGAATTAAACTAGCTGTTGACCCAGAGGTCAGGCTAGCATATATCAGTCCATCCTCCAGAGACTGGAATAGGGCTGCGGCTCAATCCAGTCTTTCTGTTGACCTGCCTCATCTCTTTCCCAAACTTGAGGATTTCTTCCCTATCCTGCTTTCTCCTTTTCTGGCTCAACTTCTCTCTTTTTGGTTGATCTTTTTTGCCTAGGGACTTATGTTACTGTGGTTCGTTGAGATTGGACCATCAACTAAAATATTTAATGCTAGAAACTTAATTTAAGCAAATGTTATGGGTTACTCCTCTCTATCAACTGATCTTGGAAAAAGTTCCTGGTTGAGTTTGGCTTCCACTCTCTTCTTACCCCAATCTTGATATGACTTCTGAACTGGGTTTCCCTTGGGGGAAAGAATGCTGAAATTAAAAAATTAAAGACGAACAGGTGATGAGACTAGACTCTCGATTGGGCAGGTCGATAATTCTGCCATCAACGTTTTCATCTCCCCTCAGATCTTTTGGTTAGATTATTGAATGAAATGTTACAGCAGGTCCATGGAGGAATTTCTTTAAAATAAATATTTTGTTGTAGAGAATTAGCTAAAAGGTCAGATGATCTTTTTTAGGCTGGTAAATTAAAGCAAGAACTTTAGAGAGGAACAAAAATTGTATAAATTTGATTATTCTCTGGTTGCCTAAAATGGTAAAGATAAATAATGAAAGTTCATTTTTTCATACAAATAGCCTCAAAGGGGGATTGATTTGATGCAGGCATTTTGAATAAATTGTGGGTTTTTTTTTTTCTGCTGACTTTTTGCTTTTCCTGCCCAAATAGGCATTATTATTTCTCCCTACACCTCTAAGAAAACTTCAGGTATGATCAGGTCCGTTTCTTTTTAAAAAATATGGTTTCTACAAGTTGTTTTTTTTCCCTTCCTTTAAAAGTAGCCCAAATGGATTAATTCTACCACTGCATTTAAGGAAAATCGTGTTAATCAAAAGGAGTGAAGTGTAGACTAATGCTGTGCTCATTTTTAAGGACTGTCATTCTGAGTGGCATCTTTTGAAGACTTCGCTCGATACACAATTGTTGCTGTTGTTTAAAAAATAAGATTCAGAATTTGCTTGCACCCTATTTATTCCTTGCTTCCGGATTAAAGGAAAGCCGGCAATTCTTTGCCATTCTGGGCTCCAGTCGCCGCGGTTTAAGGGGATGCGCGTCAGTGGGCATCTCTTTAGGTTCGTTGCACTCCCTGTGCGCCCAAGTGTTAATTTACTATAGTGAAGGGGGGAGGATCTATTTTCTTTGGTCCCTGGGCGCGTGTTTAATTTAATTTAATTTTCTGCGAAGTCTCCTGGCGGTGAGGAAACAGTCTTCTACATTTTGCTGTGGTTCCTAACGACAGTCGGGCTCCAAGAGCTCTAGGGACAGCGGAGAGCTTGAGATGACTAAAACACCAGGACTTAAGGCGCCCGCTGGAAGCTGCTGCTTTTTCACTGTTGTTCGAATGTCATTCTTACAAGTCCTTCCACTGTGGCTTTTAAGTCCAATCCCCAACTTGGCTTCTGAGGCAAGCACTTCTTTCTGTGCGGGAGGGAACGGTGGAGGCTCCCTCTGCTTCTCTTGCAGGGCTCTTAGCTGAAGTCTGGGCTGCTCCAAGTTTCCCTCATTCTCTTTTTCAGTGAAGTCAGGGGTAGGTTTTGAGCATGGGAGAATTTCCCAGCCTTTCGAAAAACTGCCTCTTCTTTTCTCGTGCTGCTCCTCGACGTGCTGGCTGCTCTGAGAAAGACCCCCGAGACCCCCCGGGAAGGGCTCCGAGCAGGCGAGCCGCACCATCTACCCTGGGGTTGCAGTGAAGGGTGGGACGGTGGTCTGGGATCTACCTTCGTGCCTTGGCCCCCAACCATTGTCCCCCTAGTGCTGCAGGCGTGAGCAGCCCACGCACACAAAGGCGCCCCGGCTGCCTCCGCGGACAGCGAGCGCCACCCTGTGCCCTGTGTCCGCTCTGCAGCGCGCCCGGCGCGGGCGACACTGGCCTCACCAGGCCTGTGCATCCGGGAGCCTCTGGCCGGGGGCGAGCCCACAGTGAGAATCGCGGCAGTGAGCCTCCTGTGCGCACCTCCTGGCTTTCAAGGGATGCTCCGGCAGGACGCGCGTGGGGATTCCCTTCCCTTCCCCAAACCTCAGCATCCTCCCGCTGCCCTTGTCCATCCGAGCGCCTGGACCTCGGGTCTTCTGTCCCACCTTTTGCCGGGGTGGCACATCCCTTGCTGCATCTGGCAGCGGCGTGGATGGGCTAAGGTCGTTTTTCCCGAACTTGTTTGGGTTTCTTTCTTGGCCTTGGCAGTGACTGCATGTGCTCCTTCACCTCCTGTGCTCTTTCTGGGCTAAACTGCTGTGTTCACTTTCACCCACCTCCCTTCCCACGAGGCGTTTGACGACGTGCAGCGTCCTCCATTGGTGAAAAGTTTTTATTCTCGTCTTTTTATTATGGCTTTGCCAGACTCTAAAGAACTTGCTCACCTTTCCCCACGTTTTTATATTAATAAAGGCAAAATTAAGTCCGATTGGCTGTGAAAACTCTTTGCCTTTGTAATTTCAGGAATCTAAGAACGGTTTGGCCACCTCGGTGACTTCCTAGGGGAGCATTTATAGGTAGAGAGAGAGATATAGCTATATGATCGCTGTACCTGTTGAATAGAACTCAGTTTTACCGCATTGTACCTAAACCCCGACTACCTCTCTTGGGCTCTCTTCCTCTCTCCCCTTGCCTCTCGGCCCTTCGGGAAGCTGGATATATGGGATCGCTAGCAACATTCTCCATGCCTTGTATTTTGGTGACTTGTGGAGAGGGGTGAGGTGAGGATGGATCGCCCCGTCTGAAAAGAACGCCACACTCTCTTTAAAGGTCTTGGAAAATCCACCGGCCCCCAGGGAGGAAGGTGAGAAGAAGTGGCTCCTGGTAAACCTCTCCTCTCCCGCCCCCCTGACTGTTAGACGCCTTTAGGACTTAGGCTCTGTGGTCTTAGAAGCTTTATAACATAGATTTGGATCCATGGTTCCACTCTGTACTCTCGAGGTATGTCAAGGATTAAACTTGGCACTTATTGACGGTTGTGCATGCACTATCTGTGTTTAAGGCACCCTCTGATGAGGCTGCACATAAACATCTTCCTCAACACACGTCCGGGGAGTTCTCAGAGCTGCACACCTGCGCGGGGCATGGCTCCAACCATGGGGGTTTGGGGGCTAAATCCATGAGCTCCGCTGACCTGAATCCCAGTAGCGGGGAAGGCAGAGGGATGGCCTATCTGGTCTGCAGTGAAAGCCCGTCAGTCGCCCACAGAAGCACTCTGGCCGCCAGGAGCTGCAGGATATACTTGACACGTCCAGCTCCGGAGCCGTCACCACCCTCCTCCCTCAAACCAGCCAGTGACTCGGGCCCTGCCCCCACCCCTCTCTCCGGGGTCCGGAAGGCCGGAAAGCACTGGAATGCCGCGTTCTCTCACCCTATTGTGCCTAGGTGTTGCAAACCACTGGAGGACAGAGTTTCACGCTTTGATCTCATGTCTCGGTCATTCTTTAGCACAGAGGGGTGAGTTTAAATTAAATTTCTTTCTCTGCTGATAAGTTCTAATAGGCCTCAGAAAGTGAATAATTATGCAGGAACATTTCATGGGTTGTTGGAGTGGGAATTCCCACTGCGCTGTCACCAGGAACAATTTCCCCGGTTGCTCAACGCTAAATACAGCTTCGCAAGAAAGCTACAAGTGCCTTTCAAATCTCAGTACAGATGAGCTAGTCTCCCTGCTCTCACCTTTCTGATCCCTTAAGAGCAGTTTGTCGTCACTTTTTTCATTTAAGTTTTATTTGTGGTTTAAAAATACTTTAAAAATCTACTGAAGGATCTTGTTTGAGGGTAAAAAATATTTGCTTTGATGATTAAACATGCAATCCTATCAGGACAAAAGTACACACTGATGAAAGCTGGGCCGCATTTTTCTGGAAAAAAGCTGATGAGCCACGTGGGGTTTGCATTCTAA